GGTGAAATATCACATTTAAAGGAATCAATTAAATGCTTAAATAGGGACTTAAGCCTCTAATTATTGGGAAAAGGTAAAAAAAAAAAATACCCAAATTTCCGAGTTCATGATAGTAAACTTATATTTCTTTCATAATATTCACATAATGCTCATGACATATTTCAAATGGAGATGTTTTGTTCCCAACATGGGTTGTTCAAATGAAACTCAGTTATGTTGAGAATCACCATGCCAGGAATATAGCCCATAGAAAAATTATTCCTGGGGCGCTTGGATGGCTCAGTTGGTTAAGCATCTGACTTTCAATTTGGGATCAGGTCATGATCTCATGGCTCTGTGGCTTCAAGCCCCACACTGGGCTCTTCACTGGCAGTGTGGGGCCTGTTTGAGATTCTCTCTCCCTCTTTCTGCCCCTCTCCACTCGCACTGTCTGTCTCTCTCAAAATAAATGAATAAAAAAAAGAAAAATTATTCCTGACTGATGTATGTATTGTTTATGTGTGTAAAAATGTGTATATATATGCATATATAATTTTATACATACATAAAATTTCTGAACATCGAAATGAATTTTTATCCACTAGTGAGTCTGCTATTTCAGTCTCTCAAACCATAATTTTACATCATGTAACACTGGTTAAGAGTATGGGGGCTCGCATCTGATTGCCTGGGCTAAAATTTTTAGGGGCACACTAATTTGCCGTGTGACCTTGGGCAAGGTACTGACCTTTTTTGTTTAGCAGTAACCTCATCTCTAAGATGAGGGCAACAGCTACATCTGACCCCATGGAGTGGTTGTGGGGATTAAGTGAATTAGAACATGGCATTGTATAAAGTACAAAATAAATGTGAACTTTCAGTAACACTACTAGTATGTGCAAGGCCAATGCTAGCTGCTTTGGTGGAGAAAAGAGACACAGTCTTAATCCTTATATAGTTCACTGTCTAGTTGAAAATTCAAGCTATAGTCTCATATAAAGTTATATATTAATACCTGAAAAGAAAATCAACACTTCAGTTCAGCTGCACAGACCATTCTTAAGTATAGAAGTCATATGGGCTGGGTGACCCAGACCAGAGGAGTCTCTTTATGTAAAGTTGTCTCACATTTGTTTACCTTCACCTGATGCTTATCTCTTTGACATGATGAAAACAGGCTCTAGGCAGATTATATAATAAACACCATTTGCAGTGGCCCAGCCTACCTTAATCTTGCAGTGGTTTAACCATGGGTGAACAGGAAATGATGCAGATGCCGAGGCTGGATTAAGGCTCTTGACAACAGAGGTTGGTTGAGCTGTGAGCATCCTGAGAGGCGGGCCAGCCCACCAATTTCTGCAATTTTCAGAGGGACCGTGACTACTTCAGCTGATTTTTAAGTGTTTCTGAGATTTAGACAATTCCAGACTGTGGTTATCCAGTTTTAAGTGATAATTTTGTACAAAGACTGGCACAAAACTGCATGTCTACTTTCCAGATAAATATTACAGTTCTCTGTGAGATTAAGGACAGGACTACTTACAGTGGTCTGGGATGTTCATGGAAGGCCATGGGAAGAAGTAGCTATGAAAGAGCCTTCAACAAGAGTTTAAGTTAATCCCTGGATTCATCCTTTTAAAATCAAATATTAATTCCCCTTATTTTTTTTTAATAAAGAAGAATGCCTTTATTTATTTATTTTTAAAATTTTAAGTAGGCTCCAAGCCTGATGTGGGGCTTGTACTCATGACTCTGAGATCAAGAGTCATATGTTCTACCAACTGGTCCAAACAGGTGCATCATACCCTAACTCAATTTTTAAATTTATCACTCTAGATTTTCACCTACATGTTGGCCCTTAATGGTGCTCATATAAAAAGATAATTTTGTGTCTATGTTATGAGTGTAATAACACAGCTTCGTATGTTGTTCGGAGTATATAACCTTTACCTGTACAACTGCTTCTTTAGGGGAAAACAGGGGTATTCTGAATTTCAGAAGATCAATTTGGAAATCCATTTTTAAAAAATTCTACTTTGGTTGGTTCTTTCACTCAACAATGATTGCTTTTCATTAGTATCAGACACTGTTGTAGGCCCAAGTGAACAAAAGAAAGACACCTGACCTCCTGGAGTTAACATTCTAGAGAGGAGAGACAGTTAAACACTACACAGAAGAAAGAATTGTATAGTGTGCTGGAAGGTAATTAAGTGCTAAGGAATAAAGAAAAACTAGTGCAGGGTAAGAGGGATGGGGATGGGTGGCAATTTTAAATAGGATGGTCATGGAGAAGATTACACTTAAGCAAAGTGTGAAGGGAGCCAGCCAAGACGTCCACTCATAGTGCGGGAAGAGTGTGCAAGGCAGAAGGAAGAGCGGTACAAAGGCCTGAAGCAGGAGCTGACCTAGTGGGTCCAAAGCATAGCAAGGAGGCCAGTACAGTTGGAAGGGGCTGTGGGGAGAAACAAGAAGATGAGGTCAGAGAGGTAAGTTGGGTAGTGGCAGGAGGGAACTTGCTAGATCACATAGAGCCTTTGAGAAAGTCAGCGGTCACTTGCATTGGGCTGGCTTAAAGTAAGGCCTGCTTGTATCAAAATAATTTCTCTTTTCCTCCTGTCTCCTATACTTCAACTTTAACGTGGATACAAATACACTAAGATCTTGTTAAAATTCAAATTCTGATTGTTTTGTTCTGGGGCCGGGCCTGAAATTCTCCATTTAAAAAAAAAAACCTGTTTATTCATTTTTGAGAAAGAGAGAGCAAGAGTAGGGAGGGGTAGAGAGAGTGAGAGGTACAAAATCCAAAGCAGGCTTAAGGCTCTGAGCTGTCAGCACAGAGCCCGACGTGGGACGGGAACTCACAAACCGTGAAATCATGACCTGGGCTGAAGTCATACGCTTAACTGACTGAGCCACCTAGGCGCCCTGAAATCCTCCATTAAAAAAAAGTTTTTTTTAATGCTTTATTTATTTCTGAGAGAGAGAGAGAGGGAGAGAGAGACAGCGTGAGCAGGGAAGGGTGAGAGAGACAGGGAGATACAGCATCTGAAACAGGATCCAGGGCTCTGAGCTAGCTATCAACACAGAGCCTAATGCAGGGCTCGAACCCACAAACCGTGAGATCACGACCTGAGCTGAAGTTGGACGCTTAACCCACTGAGCCACCCAGGTGCCCCAATTCTCCATTTTTAACAAGCTTCCAGGTGATGCCAGGCTGCCAGTCTACAACAACACATGGACAAGTAAGAGGAGGGAGGTGTTGAGTTCCCAGGGGCTTTGGAACTTAATCTCTCCACTAGCTGAGTGCAAGAGTCTTCTTGTTCCCAGTGAGCCTGAAAAGACCATTTCAGAAGGTTTTTGTGGTCTCGGCATATGCCTCACCCTTTCAAGGTCCTATCACTTGGCTAGTAACAGCAGGGTCTAGAATTTGCTCCAGGAACAAGCGATCAGTTGCCTGGTTTTTCCCATGCAGGGTCTAAGAAGTTTCTAGGGCTTCCTCACTGCTACTATGGAGGCTCTGATTCTGAACTTCAACTTGGGAACCCTTACGTAATTAAATTACTGCACTCCTTGAGTAATTAAATTCTCTGACCACATTCCTGTCTTACTCCAATTACAGAAGTTCTTTACTGGTCCTATACCTCGAGTGAAAGCTCAGCTCTGTAAACTAGGCCTGAGGCAACTGGAGGATTTGGGTTATGCTACAAGGCAGAAGAGAGAATGCCCTACCAATGCCCGTTTTATAGGAAAGGCTGGCCTTATTCTTTTTTTTGTTTTTTAATGTTTATTTTTGAGAAGCAGAGAGAGACAGAGTACAAGCAAGGAAGGGACAGAGAGAGAGGGAGACACAGAATCAAAAGCAGGCTCCAGAGCTCTGAGCTGTCAGCACAGAGCCCGTCGCAGGGCTCGAACCCACTAACCCTGAGCCGAAGCCAGACGCTCAACCAACTGAGCCACCCAGGCGCTCCAGGCTGGGCTTATTTTTTTTTTTTTTTTTTTAATGTTTTATTTATTTCTAGGAGAGAGAGAGACAGCGTGAGCAGGGGAGGGTCAGAGAGAGAGGGAGACAGACCCTGAAATAGGCTCCAGGCTCCGAGCTGGCAGTCAGCACAGAGCCCGACGCGGGGCTCGAACCCACGAACCGCGAGATCATGACCTAAGCGAAAGTCGGACGCTTAACCGACTAAGCCACCCAGGCGCCGCGAGGCTGGGCTTATTCTTAAGAGCTAGTGCCGTCCTCTGTAACACAGCAGGCCTAGAAGGATTGGCCACTTGCAAATATAAAGCATAGGCTAGGAATCAGATGGTCTTGCGTCGAATTGTGCTTCCATCCCTTACTGTGTAATATCAGGAATATTTCTTGGTGTCCCAGGGCCACAGTTTTCTCATCTGGAAAATGGGAACAACAACGCTTCCCTCACTTACTGAGATAATGCACATAAAGCATTCAATGCGTTTCCTGGTTCATAATGATCTTATAAAATACTATTTTTTATAATTGTTAGTAACATCCCACCACCTATCAAGTCGTCTTGTGGTCTGGTACTATGGTACCCACCTTCACATTCTCTGAAGTTAAGGCACCATGGCAAATCCCTCAGCAAAGGCTTTCCAAGAGGAAACATAGGGACCAAGAGCAGTTTCATCCTGGCAAATGTCACAAGAGGTAATTGAAGGAACTGAAGATGTTTCGTTTAGAAAGTAGATGATGGGGGGGGGGCACCCGTGATAACTGTCGCCATCTGTCTTGCATGAGAGGAATTTGACATATCCTATGAGACCCAGCGGGCACAAATGAGGCCAAAGGGAAGAACCCGAAGGAAGGCACACGCGTCCATTACACACAAAGCGAGACAGGCCGCGACGCCGGAGAGGGGGTCTGGGAGGGTGGGCTCCTGCGCAGCTGCGGCGGCGGAGCCAATCACCGCGCGCAGCCCGTCCTCGCGCGAGGGTACAGTCGTACAGTCGTGACGTCGGCGGTTGCCATGGAGAGGCCGGCTCAGTAGCGACCGCGAGCCGGCGCCAGGGGCCGCAGGGTCGGAGCGTGGCTTTGAAGCCGCTTACGCCGCCACCATGAGCGGCCGAAGTAGGGGTAGAAAGTCGTCCCGCGCCAAAAGCCGGGGCAAAGGCCGAGGCAAAGCCCGAGTTCGCGCTGCTCCCGACGACGCCCCCCACGACCCGGACCCAACACAGTGCCAGAGGCTCGGGGAGGAAACCCAGGCGGCACAGGTGCAGGCTGGCGCGGGTTGGGGTGGCCTGGAAACTGCTGCGCCCGCGCCGCCCCGTCGGCCCGGGGAGGAGGCCGCCTGCCGGCTCCCCCTAGATTGTGGCCTCGCGCTCCGGGCCCGAGCCGCGGGGGGTCGCGGGCAGGCCGCGACCAGGCCCGGCCCGGGGAAGGCCACGTCCCTCTCGGAGCGCCTAGCGACAGACACGGTCTTCGTGGGAACCGTGGGAACGGTGGCAAGGCCAAAAAATGGCCCCCGCGTTGGAAATCGGCGCGGTGCTGCCGGGAAGAAGGCCTCAGAAACCTGTAGCGCAGCGGGGAGGGGACCGCAGGCCGTAGCAGGTGGGAAGCTGAAGAAAGGGGCTCCGGGGGAGAGTGTCTCCTCCCCTGTGGTAGAGGAGACGAAGGTGGAGAGGGATGCAGGGTCGGGGCCCCTGGCGACAGACGGCCGCATGGATACGCTCGAGACCGTCCAGCTGAAGCTGGAGACCATGAACGCGCAGGCGGACAGGGCCTACCTTCGGCTCTCGCGGAAGTTCGGGCAGTTGCGACTGCATCACTTAGAGCGCAGGAACCTCCTCATCCAGAATATCCCAGGTTTCTGGGGGCAGGCTTTTCAGAACCACCCCCAGCTATCCTCCTTTCTGAACAACCAAGATAAAGAGGTTCTCAGCTACTTGAACAGCTTGGAGGTGGAAGAGCTTGGCCTCGCCAGATTGGGCTACAAAATCAAGTTCTACTTTGGGCGCAACCCCTATTTCCAAAATAAGGTGCTCATCAAGGAGTATGGGTGTGGGCCTTCGGGTCAGGTGGTGTCTCGTTCTACTCCAATCCAGTGGCTCCCAGGACATGATCTCCAGACCTTAAGCCAGGGGAACCCAGACAACAGCCGTAGCTTCTTTGGGTGGTTTTCAAACCACAGCTCCATTGAGTCCGACAAGATTGTGGAGATCATCAACGAGGAACTGTGGCCCAATCCCCTGCAGTACTACCTTATGAGTGAAGGGGCCCGTGCAGAGAAAGGAAAGGAGGGCAGGCAAGGTCCAGCAAAGCAGCCAGTGGAGACCCCTGAGCCTGGGGCAAACAAGTCCGACTGATTTGGCACCAGTCTCCCAACTACCTCCTGTTAGACCTGTGCCTAGCTAACCACACGTGTTTGGCCGTCTGCCTTCTCTTCATGTTGGCCTCTGTGCACTCTTAATTCCCTTTGGACTTCAGTGACAAGAATATGGTATTTATGATCATGTTCTTTTGCCCCTTTGTGGCCTTCTTGCTTTTTTCACATTAGTGTTACATGTTAAATGACCTCACCCCTACTGTTTATACGTTAAGCACACATGCTTCAAATGTGTGCTGCCTTTGTCTACATTGCCTGGACCGTGTTCTCGGCTGTGGCCTTTCCCAGCTGTCTTTCACATGGACACTCATGAGTCATCCTCCACTAGGACCAGTGCATTCTCGGGCTCTGCTGCTTCAGGGCAGCAGACTTGCTGAGCTTTATGTTCATGCTGGCCATGCGTGCCATCTCTGGTGGGTTCTTCTGCTGCCACTGCAGAATGAAGCTAGCCCACATGGTATTGGCTATCAGCCAAAACTGATTGTTCCAAGGCCCTGGGGCCACCAGCCAAGGTTCCACCATCTACTGGATCTCTAGCTTTGGCCAGGGGCCTATGCTGCCCCACTGGATGTGCGGAATAGCACTTGACTGCTGGGCATGGATGAGGTTAAGAGTGAGAAGCATAATGCCACGTGTTCTATACCATCATGGGTCTCTTCCTGCCTCTGGGCCCTTCTGATGAACCTTCGTCAGGGTCTATCATGTGCCCCATCATTGTCAGGCCACTGAGATTTGTCTAGGTTGCAATTGGCCCTAGTTGGCTTCCCGGTCAATGAGGACCTCAAGAACTGCCTGTGGACCAAGGCCCCCTGCCAGTGCATGAGACACACCTACCTTCCCCAGGCTTCCAGGAACCCTACTGCCTGCCAGACTGATGGGCAGGTATGTGGACATGTACTCACTGTCATCATGCTGTGGCTCAGGTGAGGGTGGGGACTGAACCCACATACAATCTAGGCACCTTTGTCAACTCCTCTCATCCCTGGCTAGCATATGACCAGAGTGCTATAGTGGGGTTGCGGGAAGAGAGATTTTTGATCTATGGGCCTGTGTCTACTTCATCTCACACCTCCATACCTCCTTACTTACCCTTCCTTCACTCCTCTTCTTTCTTCCGTCCCTTCCTTCCTTTTTTGTTTCAATATTACTACAGCTCAGAGAGCGAAAACAACGGAAAAACCAGGGTTTCCTGCTTACAGCTAGTGAGACAGCTAGGACTTGCTGTGCACACTCACACATTGAGCTGACAGAGGGCAGTGGAAACCAGAAGGCCAAGGTCTGTGGTCAGATCTCGGTCCCAACTCCTGGATGCACTCTATTAATTCTAAAGTTGAAAATTCTTTTCATGGCTAACAAGAATTATAAGCCCCCAAGGCAGCAGTGTTGTGGTCTAGTGTTTACCCCTGTTCCAACTTTTTGTGTGTGCTCCTTAAGACCCAGCTGCCTCCTATTGTTTCCTCTTCTGTGGTAGCCACTGGCCATCTGGCCCTCATTCCCCAGCTTTCTACCTTCAGCAGCCCTTTGCTCTCTCCACTTGTACCTTGAGATACCTTTAGGAGTAGGCTTTTGTCCGGAGGCCTGGGGCCGGGGTGGGCAGAATCTGTTCTGGGTCACCAAGGCCCACTTCCAGTGGGTATAAAAGCTGAGCTCGGCCTTCTTTCTCCTTCACATCCCTAAGGGTGCCGCATTAAGACTGTAACTCCCTTTCCTTGTGAGAGACCTTGTTCTGAGTTCCCCAAAGGCTGGGGAGGCCCTGGCTCAAAATTGTAGAGAGGATGTGCCAGGCAGGGCACTGGGAGCAAAAACAAGAGTAGGCATGAACCTGGTATGGAGATGGGCCTGAAGAATCAGATAGAAATGGCTGAGGAAGCCACAGGGAGAGTATGCCTAGCTCTTCTCAGTGATGCAGGGACAGGGAGGGACCTTCCGCAGAGTGAGGAGGGGAGAGTTAAAGGGATCATGGGCCAACACAGTGCCTAGATGTAGATTTGCCCCAAGTTTTGACCAGTCATTAACTCATCATTAGTGGATTTTATAAATCACAGAAGCAAACCCAAAACAGAATAATGTTACTTTGGATGCTTTCTCTTTTGTTCTAGGTGTGGCCTTGCGTATGTGGAAGATTGATGCTATATGCTGCTTATCTTGCCATAAGTAAAATCTTACCACTTTCCCCATTTTGCCTAATGGGAGTATGTAGCTGTATAGGTCTGCTTTTTTTTTTTTTAAACGTTTTTCTGTTTATTGTGGACATTTTCAGACATGCACAGAAGAGGAGAGGATGATCCCTGGACCCTAGGTATCCATCACCTAGCTACATCAATTATGATCAACCTTGTATCTTCTCTCCCCACCTGTATTGTTGACGGAAAGTCGGACACTGTACCAGTTCAACCTTGACTACTTTGGGAGATCAGGACTTTCTTTTGGTGGTGACAGTGGTGGGGTGCACTGTCATGATCACATCAGGTCTGCTTTTTGCTTTGAGTGTTAATTGATGAAGTTCTAGAAATGGGCTTTAGAAGTGAAAATCTTCAAGATTAACAGGGAGTACTCAAAAAGAGATGAAAATATGCTCCCTTTTCCCTGCATCCGCAAAAGGAGAGAGACTGTTGTGATATAAATCTTTCAAAGACTGATTTGGTAAGGTGCTTACTCGAGACCCTTCACCAGAATATCAGTCTCTTTTGCCTGTAAAAGATGGAGACTTGTGTGACTGTTAGAAATACCATCAGCTTGTCTGGTCTCATAACTCTGGTCTTGAAAGTATAATTTGGAAATTGTTGCTGTGTTCTGTAAAAACCTCCCCAAAGTAATCAGTAACTGGTTGTCTTACTTGCTAATTTGACATCCTGCTAATAATGCAATTATTCATTTGTTCCTAAACAGTATAAATAGTTGTAAGCTTGCATGCATGATGGAAAAATAAAAGTCTGTATCTCTGTTAATAATTTTTATTTTTAAAAAAGAATTGGAAGGTTAAGCCAAAGCTGGGTAGTTGAGGGGATGTATATGTTGGCTTCGAGTGATTGCTAGGTCTCAGGCCCTTGTTTGACTAGCTGTCTCACGATATTCAAAATTCTGATTCCCAAGCCCTTAGCAGATATTGAGATTCTGTGGTTCTATAATGAAGCCATGGAGTTCTTGTTTTTAACAAGTTTTCCAGGTGATTTTCGTATAAATCCAGTGCTTCTCAAATTTTAGAGTACATCTGAATTGTATGAGGAAACTTAAAATACAAATTCTGATTCAATAGTTCAGGGTGGAAAAGGAGATGGTGCATTTCTAACAAAATTCCAGGTGATATCCGTGCTGGTGGTTTGTGAACTACTTTGAGTAGCAAGAGGTGACATTCAAGTCCCATTCAAACTGGAGTCACAGTGCTCAGCCTTGGCTGCACATTAGAATTATCTGGGACACTTAACGATGCTGCCAGAGCTCTGCACAAATGCCAACTAAATCAGAATGTGGGGAGGGGTTAATCCAGGCACAGGTATATTATTTAGAAACATTTGAAGTGACTCCTTTGTCTAGCCAGAGTTGAGAACTAGGGTTTCTGATGCTGTTCCTAACACATCTATAAGAAGGTTAATTATATTAATCAGGAGAAGCAGCAGCAAAGGACAGAATGCTACATAAAGCTGTCCAGCAGAAAATAGTTGGGTTGTTAAATGACAAGATACTAAAATTAGTTTATTTGAGAAAAGGCTCCAGTCAATAAATATGCAGTGTTCAGAGCATAGTAGGTGTTCAGATATGGAATGAATGAATGAATTTAAAACACAGTTTATATAAAAATGCCTCCGGTCTAGTCTTGTAATTAAATTTGCAAAATAGGCCAAATTTGTTTGTAAGGATAGATGTATTAGTTTGTTGGGGCTTCCATAGCAAAGTGCCACGGACTGGGTGGCTTAAACACCAGAAATTTACTTCCAAATTTACTTTTGGAGGCTAGAAGTCTAAGACTAAGGTGTTGGTAAGGTTAGTCTCCAAAGGCCTCTCTCCTGGGTTGTAGATGGTCGTCTTCTGTCTTTACACCATCTTCACACGTCTTCCCGCCTTCTTCCCTCTTGTGTGAGCCTGGGGGCAGAGGGGCAGTAGTGTGTAGCTGGTCTGCAGGCCTAGATTGTTTCCCCCGGGGGAGTGCAGGCCTCGCATCACCACATCTTCAAAGGGGAGAGGGAGGAATCAGGATTTTTATGTAGAATCCCCCAATTTTGAATGCTTTCAACTAAAAAACAATTAAAAAACCTCCAAAGCTTCACTACTAGCGATATGTGGAGTGCAAATCGGTATGGAGAGCAGCCTCGTTTTCAGGCTCCAGCCTCTTTTGGGATTCATGCTGACTCCTCTGGAGCTATGAATTGGGGGAGGCTCTCTGCCCAATTCCTTTCACACACTTGCTTTTTCATGGGTGTGGAGCCTCCACTTCCCGGGGCCCCTTTTCACGGCCCTCCCCTCGGGTTCCTCCTGATCTGGGATTCACTACCTCCCATGGGCTCATTCATTCATTGAATGTGCCAGTCGTGGTTGTAGACATTAGAAATATAGCTGTGAACAAATAGAACTTTGAATTCTGCCCCCCTCCTAGGTTTCAGCCTCTTCTCAGATTTTGCCTGGGATTGTCAGTCAATCTATTTCTTTTTTCCCTTTTCCTGCTTAGGGCTGCAGAATGCTTTACATCAACATGGGAACTAAAAGAAAGTCTCTTTTCACCCTCTGACCTCTAGATCAGAGTTCACAGGGCAATTAGGCTTTTAATAACCTGAAAAGTGAGGGCTTCTTGGAGTAATTCTCATTAGGCGAGGAGGCCCTGGCCTTTTTCTCAACTTTGAATTGTATTATAAAAAGTCTTTTGATTTCTAAACTTGTTACTGGCTGGGCTTTTTTGGAAGTGTGCTGGATGTGACTGACTATGCCATGGGTGAGGGAGGAGAGCAAAATAGACTTGCTGCCCATGGCCTACTGGAACTTTTTTCAACTTCTGACTGTGTTTCCTTACACGTGGGGCTTTCTACCTCTGGCCTCCTCCATTGATTTGCCACAAGGCAGACAGGCACACTGCTCTGCGGTGGCCTCACATAAGGAGGGAGCTTTGCCCTCATTTGCCCCTTTTGAAGATTTTGTAAACTTCTGCCTTCTCACCCCTTGAGATCCTAGGCCTTGATGAGCCACTGTTACTGATGTTACATATCCCTCAGGTGTCGGGGCAGCAAAACAACAAAACAAAAAGCAAAACCTAAACAAAATAAGAGAACCCAGGCTATTCAGCCTGTGGTTTTTATCTCTCTTTGTCCTTAGCACCTTCACTTCTGCTTTTGGCATCTTCTTCAACTATATTTCACCATTCCAGGTCATAACTCAGTTCTACTGATTTCATTTTTATCTGGAACTCTGACTTCGTGCTTCTGTACCCCAGATGAGCATTCTCTGGTTACCTACTCTCCAAGGCTCAAATCTTGAATTCCTTCCTCCTTCCCCTGCCTCCTGTCAACTTGGTTCTCAGCTGAGGTTTGAAAAATATAAGACAAAATAGCCACCATCTGTGTGGCACTTTATGCTTCCCAAGGCACATTCCCTTACATTATCTCAGTTATGACAGCTGTCCCATAAGATGGCTCAAAGAGGTTAAGTGACTTGATCCAAACTACACAAGTGGTATGCAGTAGGGCCAGAACTCAACTCAGGTCTGCCGGTTCCAGACTCCACCCATACTTGCAATGGTAAACATGAGACCCAAGCAGATATCTGGTACTGTGAATCTAGGCACTTCTTTCCACAGAACCTGGATTGAGGCCTTTTCAGACCCCTCAGCGCAGCACATTAGTCAGTCACAGCCAATCAGAGTTGGCATGAGTGTGAGCCTTCTTGGCAATCCCAGACTACAGCCTGCTGTCAGAGCTCAGTTAGGAGCTGGACTAGCTAGGGTTGGGTGGCTCAGAACCGTGGCTGAGGCTTCCTTTAACTGCTTTATTCTAAGGTTAGGATCGGTTCAAAGTTTCAATACCTGAATCTGAATGATTTGGGAAAAAGGAGGTAATTCTTCTATAACAAGCAGTCTGGTGATGGGAAGTTGCAGGCTTGTTTCAATGGCTCCATATCAGGGCTCTGGTCCACACCTCCTGCTTCCTCTTCTCTTGGCTTTTCCCTCATGATTCCCCAGCTGCACGTAAGGGCAGCCAGGAAGGAGGGGAAGGGTATCTTCTCACATTTCCCTGTCTTCATCAAGGAAGAAAATCTTTGCCAAGTAGTCCCTGCTGGATCTCAGGAGACCTGAGTCCGGTTCCTTGGGCCAGAAATGGGTCACACTCCCGCACTCTGTTTCAGGGAAACAGCACTTTTCAGCATCTCTCGTGGGTGGGGGCTTCTGCCATCAAGGAATAAGGTGAGCTCAAGAGGTTAGAATGGGGGGCGCCTGGGTGGCTCAGTTGGTTAAGCATCCGACTTTGGCTTAGGTCATGATCTCACGGTTTGTGGGTTCGAGCCCCGCATCAGGCTCTGTGCTTACAGCTAGCTCAGAGCCTGGAGCGTGTTTCAGATTCTGTGTCTCCCTCTCTCTCTGACCCTCCCCTGCTCACGCTGTCTCCCTCTCTCTCAGAAATAAATAAAAAAAACAAATACCATCTAGTATCGAGTCCATACTTAAATTTCTCCATTGTTGGCAAACCATGAGAGACTCTTGAATGCTGACAAAAACTGAGGACTGATGGATGTGGGGGGGAGGGGGGATGGGCATAGAGGAGGACACTTATGGGGATGAGCACTGAGTGTTATGTGGAAACTAATTTGACAATAAACTATTTGTAAAATAAATAAATAAATAAATTTCTCCATTGTTTCCAAGAATATTTTACAGTATTAGTTTTAAAGTCAAGATTAAATAATGTTCAGTCACTCATCTAGTTATCTCTTCAGTCTCTTTAAAACAAAAATAATCTCCTCACTTTTTCCCCCCTATGATATTGACTTTCTGACGATGTTAAGCCAGTTGTCTTCTAGGATGTCCCAAATTCTGAATATGTCTGAATGCTTCTTCCTGGTGTAGCTTCTCCCCCTGTCTCCTATACTTCTTGTAAACTGAGGGATGCAGAGGAAATGCCCTTGGCAAGAATATAACGTAGACAAGGCTGCTTACGTCATAATATATCACTTCCAAAGGCACAGTGACAGGTGTCCATCTGTTTTGCTGTTTCTTTGGCACCTGGATGGCTCGGTTGGTTGGTTATCCAACTTCAGCTCAAGTCATGATCCCATGGTCTGTAGGTTTGAGCCCTGCACTCGGCTCTGTGCTGGCAGCTCAGAGCCTGGAGCCTGCTTTGGATTCCTTGCCTCCCTCTCTCTCTACACCTCCTCCACTTGCACTCTATCTCTTTCAAAAATAAATAAACATTAAAAAAATTTTTTTTTCAAAAAGATGACGATCACAATTAGTAGGTAATCTCTGAGCTTACTATGAGGATACTGTTTCCTTAAACTTTCATCCCAAGGTTTTAGCATCCATTGATGACATTTGGCCAAGTCCTTTATTTCACTGTGGGATACAAAATAGTGACTTTCTGAACTTGGCATTTCCTTTACATATGCTATCTGGTATTTTCCTAAGGACACCTAACCCTCATGATCTAGTGATGAATTATACTTCCTTTTGAAAGGCAGTATAAATGTTTACTTTGTTCCTTCTATTACCTATTTTTGGAATCAAGTTAGTGTAATTAATTGCCTCTAGTGGCCTCAAATAAGGGTGTGTTACTGTTTTTACTATCACTGTGGACTTGAGGGGTTTTAGTTATTTAATGTTTTACAGTCAATTACAGCCATTTTTCTTTTGGCTACTCAATTGTTCTGCATTTTGCTCCTAACTTATTTTTTTAAATGTTTATTTATTTTTGAGAGAGAGAGAGCGAGCAGGGGAGGGGCAGAGAGAGAGGAGACACAGAATCTGAAGCAG